ATGTGGGTGCTGGGAACTGAACCCCAGTCCTCTGCAAGAGCAGCCAGTGCTCTTAACTGCTGAGCCATCTCTCTAGTTCATAGTGTAGGTTTTAGAAGGCAAATTTAATAGAATGGTGTCAACTTTGATTTTTAAAACATGTGTGTTTATTATGTATTTGAATAGAAAAAGCCTAGAAGATACTCTGGGCTGAGGAGTCTCTTCAAGTAAGCCACCCTGTTCCCAGGAGGGCACTCTGTGTGAGCTCCAGTAGAAGCTCTTTTGGCAATGGCTGGGGAATATAGCCCTGTGAGAGGTTCTGTCTGCATAACAGGACCTGTGGGAAGAAGCCAGGTGGCTCTCAAAGTCACTGTAGACAAAATCAAGGAATGACTGCTACCAGAGCTGATACTGTCACTTCTTGGGCACCCACATAGAGATTAATAGTAGTTAACATATATTGGACACTATACGTATTTTCACTTAATGCTCTGAACATCCTCAAGAGGTATATCTCAGGCAAGTATTAATCACCCCATATTATCTGTGAGGAAGCCAGCCAAGAAAAGATTAGGTAATTTATTTAAGATCCCAAAGCTAGGAAGTGAGTGGATGAGTTGGGCTTCAAACCCAAGTAGGTGTGTGTCTTCAGAACCCACAATGCATGCAATCAGCACATATTTCTAGTATGGCAAGAAGGGAAGAGGGTGCCATGATGTGTTAAAGGGAAACAGTAAGTAAATCATAAATAAGTGAAAATTCCTTCTGGGAAGGATAGTCCCATGATAGTCACTGTTACAGGATGGAACAGACTGAAAATACCTCATGCCCTTCAAGATCCCACAGTGAACCTACAGTTGGTTTGTGTCCTGGTCATGGTTAGTATCTGGCCTGAGTTAATATTTTCAACCAGCTGCTGCCAAGGGCAGACCCAGTGACAGTGTTTGGAATAGGCCCAGCCAGATTTTAAGGGTTCCCAAGATAGGAGCAGTTATTCCTTTTGTTTTCATTGACAAGGCTGTAAAATGAGAATTTATCATCTTTTTTCACATCTGCTATAGAATTCCTTGGGCAGAGGCTGGGCATGGTGGCACATACCTGCCATCCCATCATTCTTGAGGCTGAAAGGAGAATCTCAAGTTCGAGCTCAGCCTGGGCTACCTAATGATACCTGTGCTGGGTCTATGTTCCTTTCCTAACCAGCATACCCTTCTTCTAGAACAGTGTCCTAGCCCCAGACTCTTGTTGTAGCTTATGAGTTGGCACCCCCAGAACCTCTTGCCCAGGAAGTGCTTCCTTCTCTAGTCAAAAGCCAGAAATTCATTTTTCATCCTAGGCCAACTTATACTCTGTACTAATTAGGCACCTTTCAGCCTGTCTTCCACCTACCCCCATATCCCTTAATTTACCTGTGCGTGCTTCCTCAGCTTCATTTTCTCACTTCTTCTGTCCTTATTTAGCGAATCTGTCATCATATCTTCATGTTTTTCTGCCCAGTCAAGTTCATTTTCTCAGCCAAGTCTACATTCCCAGGCAGAGCCCCTTCTCTGTTAGGCATATATCTATCTATACCGATACCTTTGCCAGGCCCCATTCCTCAGCCCTTAACAACCCAGCCAAAGCCCTCCAACTTATTTACCCTTCCCTGGACTGTGCCCCATGGGCAGGTAGGCCCCTTTTGGTAATGAGGTAACCTTCCCCAGTTTGAACTGTCTCTAACCTGTACCACCTCAACTGAGCATGAATTTGACCCCAGCCAGGGCTCCTTTTCCTTCAGCCACATAGTCCTGTGCCGTCCTGTATCTATGCAGTCTTTCTAACCCATCTTGATGTCCCATTCCTATCCTGTGTCTTCTTGCCCAGCCAGTGCCCTTTCCCCAACAAGACTCCCATCCCTATCCTGGGTTCCATCCCTCAACGAAGTCCCATTGCTCAACTTTGTGCTTTCTTTCAGCCAGGGTCTCTGTTTGGATCCTAGCTGATCTCTGCCCAAACAGGTGCTCTCCAACTGGCAGGCCCCCTTCTCTGGGCTTTTCAGCTAGGGTAATTTTTCTTGTTTTTGGGTTCCTAACTCAACTAGAAATCCTCATCTTGACAAGACAATTCCTCTTTCATTAACCAGCCCTCCACCCTGACCTTACGAATGGATTCCTGGCCAGGCTTCCCTACCTACTCTGTGTCACTACCCAGAGCCTTTTGCCTCCCTACCCAGCTGAGTTGCCTTCCCTAACCTATTGTTTCTTCCCCAAGATCTTCCTCCTTGCTCTGCTACTCTTGTGCCCTGGCTCCTCTGCCCACCTGGACTCACATCCTTAGATATACCCCAGCCCCAGACAGGCCTTTTTCTCCTTCCATAACTTTCTACAGGATAAGGACTTCTCCAGTCTGTGTCTTTCACCAGACAAGGCCTCCTTCTTCATCCTCAGATCCAATTCTCCAACTAGGACCCCAGCTACCTATATATAATATATCACCTTCCTGGGCCTCTTTCCTCTCCACATCTAGGCCCCCTGTCCTAGTAGTGATTCCACCTGCACCAACCTTCCAAGCCAGGTGGCTCCTTTACCTATTAGGGTCTGCTATCCAGTCATCCTCTTCCAAGTTGACAGGTCTGCAGTCAATGCCTCTTTTCCAACAAGGCCCCTTTTTCTACAACTCCCTCCTCAGCAAGGGGCCCTTGCCTGGCCAGGTGGCGTGTCCCACCCATTTCCCCATCCAACAGCCACAGACCCCTTCATCATCTGCTGCACCCTGCCAATCTGGCTTCTTACCTCATTGAGCTGCTTATTTACCAGACCATTCTTCCTACAGCCACAGTGTCTCTCCCTGTCCAGCCCCATTTCCTGCCTTATATTCCAGTCAACCCCATCCTTGTGAGGACTCCTCCAGAATGCAGTTCAGTTTCCAGTCAGCTTTCCTTCCTAAGCTGGGCCCCCTTCCCCTCCCTACCAACTGTCTCATGCCAACTGACTCACTGTTCCCTACCAGGAACCCTTCACCAGCCTTCATAGTGTCCCTGACTTGGACTTCTTCTTTCAAAGAGTCCTCCTTTTTCCAGCCCTTCTTTCCCATCTTGGGCTGCCCCTACTAAGTCAGTGGCCCCTGTCCATCAAAATCCCCCCTCCCCTGCTTCCAGTTGTGACAGTGCACACCTTTATTCCTAGCACTCCAGTGGCAGAGGCAGGTAGATCTCTGTGAAGGCACCCCACACACTCCCACTCTGCAGCACACCCCATAGAGCACTTTCCTCATTTTTAGAGCCTTTCCTTAGCCTTTACTCACATTCCTAGTCAGGGCCCTTCCTTGGCCTTTGCCCCAGACCCATAAATGTCCTCTTCCCTAGCCAGGCTTTCCTTACCACCTATGGCCTGTTCCTTGGCCAGCCCCCTTCCTCATCTTGTTGAACTCTACCTCCATCTCTCCCACTTTTCCCTAGGCTGCCCCTCTCCCCAACCTTCTTCAACCCTCCTTCCCAGTGAGGCCCCCTTATGCAGATGACATGTCCCTTCCAGACCCATTTTCCCTTGCCCTGCCTAATCCCCCTCCTGTGACTCACCCCCCTTCTTCTCTAACTCACATTTTCTCCTCTCCTCAGTGTTCCTGTCCCTAAAAAGGCTATCCTCTTGCAATGTACCCCCAATACCATGTTTTCTCAGAGACTGGCTAGCTTAAACTTTTCTATTGGTACAGTGAGCTATCTACTAGGATTTCCGTATCTGTAGTTTTGAAACATCTGCAAAGTAATCTTCTGTTCCTCCAAGGTAGTCCTGGACTGGCTGAGGTTTTGGAAATAGGCCTTCTCGCTGCAACACAGCAATGAGAACATTAAGCGAAACTGTTTCATATGTTCCACTGAGTGAAGCATCAACTCAGGACACCCTCAGTGTAAGTTACTCTTTAAATCCCAGCCAAGGACACATTTCACTTGGGGTCACGAAGACGGCAGGTGCATCCCCCAAAGCCTCACCTGTTCCCACCAAACCTCCTATTCCTCAGGAATCCTTTGCTGAAGTAGACCTGGGATGTCAACTCCATATGGACTACGTCAATTTTATTAAAAAAAGCAAACCAGGTTATTGCAAAAACTGCTTTATTTATTTTTTTGGTCTTTTTGAAAAGTTGCATAATTGTTTAAAATAAAGTTTCTGAACTTGCATTACTCATATTTTTCTTCGTAGTAGGTGTTGATACAAAAAAATCAATTACTTAGGACTTCTTAAAAATCTCTTTAAACTCTAATTTTTTCTCTCTAAGAATTAAAGAAAGACACTAAGTTCAGACCTTTCACATCTTTGGTATAAATCTTAGCCTACTGGTTCATTTAAATTTAATTTCTGTACCTAATACATTTAGCTTTTAAATTTGAACCACAATGTTTTAGAATTTAGTAAACGTCTGAGCAACTAAAATCAACCTGCAGTTTCACAAACTTGAATGCAAAAAAAACCCCAACCAAACTATTATAACACTTGTTCATAACCCAAGAAGTCTAACATAGGTTAAAAAAAATCAACCAACAACCTGTGGTGTCCCCCACCCCCAGAACTGTAATGGAAGAAAGGCAGCCAGTGTTTTCAGCCACATGAACTCCACTTTTACTAAGTGAATTGATAGATTTTCGAGAAAATCCTGAAACACTGAACTCTTCAACTAAACTTGTTGGTCTTGGATAAACAAGGAGGAAACCCAAAAGTTTCTATTTTAATCTTAAAGTTAATTGAAACACCAACTTTTCAGCTCGGGAGGAAGACAAAGACTTTTAAGAGGAAATAGAGGAATATGCAAAGTAGGTGTTTTCCTGAAATGAGGCCTCCCATCCCCGACCCGGGAAAGAAGCAACAAATGATAAAGGAGAGGGTACATTTTAAGGAAAACAAAGGGGAAAACAGAGCAGGGTGGGGGGAAGCTGCTTCAGTTCTCACAGGAACTGCAGTATCAACTGCGGAAGGGCCACAGTGCCATAAGGCGGTCTCACCGGCTTGCTGGAAAAGGCCTCAGGGCTCTGCGGCTGCAGGAAACGCCTAGAAGAGGCGAGGTGCCTTGCCTCCTACAGCACCGGAGGCTTCAATGGGCTTGACGGAGTTGTAGTGCTTCCCGAATTTACAGGCATAGTGCAGGTAGACGAGGATGAGCAGCTTCTTCTTGTACTCCTCTCAGATGATGATGATGGTCAAGTTGGCCTGCACCACTTCGATGGGAGTCTCAAGGACGTGCGACAAAGCTCTCAATTCCAGCTGGCCTCCCCACGAGGCCCTGTGCACGATGTCATCACAGTACCTCAGGAAGTCCTCGTGGGTGAAGTTACCGGCCTCAGGTTCGACGAAGAATGGCAGGAAGTCGTCGATGTGTTCGCGCATGTATTGGGCCGTATGGCAGCGCAGGCTCTGCACTGTCACCGAGTACACCAGCTGATCCTGGATGGCACGGTACATGCAGTGGCCGTCGGCGGGGATAGCCTTCATCTCCAGTTTTTTGGGTCCCAGAATGGCAGAGATCTTGTCTTCTTCCTCACGGCCAATATGTAGCTAATGCAGCTCTTCTTTCACGTCTTTTCATGGCCTTGACCGAGCGAGGAGGAGACAGGTTCTCGAGGTTCATTTTCATGAGGTTGGTTGTAATGGATTCCAGGCTGGGGTTGAGCTCATCTTCGAATCCCTCCAACTCTCGTTGGTGTCTCTGCTCCATTTTGGCCTCAAGGCGGGCAATATGGAGAAGCAACTGTTTTCTCCTATCACTGTCATTCTTTGTGATGGAGTTCTTAAGGGTTTGGATGTGAGCCTGCAATTCCTTCTTTTCACGACTGTAGCGGCGGACCACCTGTTGGAATTCTCTCTGGGAGTTGTCTGTCATATCTAGACTTCAGAGACAGTTGAAGTCTAGAGGGAGCACCAACAGTTCTGAACCGGGAACAGGCCACACAGCTTGTGCCTGAGGCAGCTGCGTTGCTGTGGCACCACCCAGGCTGACTGGTCCCACCCTATTCTCAATCCTGCTTGCTATTGGTCACTGCTTCCGGGCCACGCCCCCTAGACATGTCAGGCGTTGTGACGTTTTTCCAGGCTTCCTCAGGCCTCGAGCACCTCACGCACCTCACGCTTCTGGTTTTAACCAGTTCAAATATCACTCCTAATGGCATAGGAGTTAGTAGGACTTGTAGAATCTTTCAGTGACTCCTACTGCTACTTTATTTGAAAGTTTTGACAGAACACAGGCTGTGTAACAGAACAAAGACATTTCCCTATCTTCTTGGGAACACAGAGCCCTTTTAATTTATGTTTCAAAACCGAGGGGACCCATTTACGTGTAACACAGCAATAACGACTCTCTCTACAGGCACACACTACAAATAAGCAAACCTCTTGGCTTGTGCTAAGAGAAGTCACCTAAACACCCCTTTCCTGGGCCCCGAGGGCCCTAAAATGTGCTCTCTAGAATATCCACGAAACACAAGTCAGTGTTCACCAAACCACTTCTTCCTGATTGTTTTCTGTTTCCAAAAGTCCTGAAAAGAGAAAAAAATCCCCAAACTCATTCAAATATGCTCTCATCCTTCCCTAATCTGTCTCTGTCTTGAGTTCCCAAACATCTCTGCCTGCACTCTTGTAAACCAGCTCTGCTGGTGGAAGGAGTCCTGTGATCTCAGCACTTGGAAGGTGGAGGTATGAGAATCAAGACCTCAAGGTCATCCCGGGTTACACAGTAAGTTCAAGGTCATCCTGGGTTACATGACACCCTGGTTTTTGAGAAAAAAACTCAAAACAACCAAACCAACCTAACAACAAACACTATGGCTGAAGTACATCCTCCAGTCAGTACAGATATCAGTGTGAACATAAGTCCTCATTTCTCTAGAGAAAATGCCCAAGGATGAATTTACTGTACATATTCTAAGCATATACTTATTGTTTAAGAAGCTCTATTTTCCAGAATGGCTGTGTCTTGTACATTTTCACTAGGAGTGTGAGTGATTCAGTTTCTGTGTATTCTCACTAGTATTTGTTGTTATCATTTTTAAGAAATTTTACTCATGCTGATAATCTCATTATGATTTTAATATCGTGTATCTAATGTTTTTTTTCAGTACTGGATATGGAACCCAGAACTTTGTCTATGCTAAGAAAGACTAGTACTCTGATGTTCATCTTTTCAACATTTTTAAAATTATTATTATTATTATTATTATTATTTCTATTACTATTGTGTTTGTGTGTGTGTGTGTGTGTGTGTGTGTGTGTGTGTGTATAATGTACGGGGGGGGGCTGCTTGGGTCACTGCCTGACAGTATGGAGGTCAGAGGATAACTTTGTGGACTTGGTCTCTCTGTGGAATTTGTCTCACTGTGAGTTCATGGGATTAAACTCAGGTTATCAAGTTTTCAAGGCAGTGCTTTTACCTGCTGAGCCATCTCACCTGATACTCAACTCTAAATGTCTTCAAATGCCATCTATAACATGTCTTGTTTGGTAAAATGGCAACATTGTTTGCCTATTTTCTAAATGGATTGCTTTTACTGTTAGGTTTTGAGAGTTCTTTTATAGTCTAAATGCTTTTTTTGGCCAGATAAGTGGCTTGAAAATATTTTCCCCCAGTCGAGAGTTTGCCTTTTCATCTTCTTAACAGGGCAAAGCTCAGAGCAGAAGCCTTTAATTCTGGAGACAGATTTGCAGTTTAATGATAGATCATTTTCCCAGCCTGGTGAAGCCATGTATGTGTTGGACTATCAGAATCAAAAAACAGTTTTTAAAGTTTTTCTAATTTATTTTTATTTTATGTGTATGCTTGTACTTAAGTGCACTATGTGTACACAATGCCAATGGAGGCTAGAAGAGGGCATCGGATCCCCCAGGATTGGAGTTACAGATGGCTGTTAGCCACCATGTAGGTGCTAGGAACCGACCCTGGGTCCTCTGCAAGAGCAACCACAACTCTTACCTGCTGAGCATCTCTCCAGCCCCCACAGAAAGGTTTTAACTAATTAACTTTTCAGACATGTACTTGCTATGTAGCCCATTGCTGGCATCAAACTCACAATCCACTGCCTCATGCTCTCAAGTGCTGAGATTATGGTGTAAGCCACCACACCTGACAAAGGTTTTATTTATTTATTTTTAAATTTTTAGTTATTAATTTTTATTTATAGAAATTTTTGTGTATTTCATACAGAATATCCCAAACAATCTTGTTCATTTTTATACCTGCATCCCAAATGGCACCCTCCCAACGCGCCCCCTCACTGGAACCCATATACTCTGTTATCCTTGTTACTGTCCACTGTGTTATCTATATATTTATCTCTCTCCACCTACACCATACAGTCTTGATTTATTGTAGCTTTGTTATAAGTATTAAAATCAGGTAAATCATTTCTATAATTTTATTCTTTTCTTTCAAAGTTATTTCAGTTCTTTTGCATTTTAGAATACTCTTTTCTTTAAAAAAACTTTTGGGAGGCTGGAGAGACAGCTCAGTGGTTAAGATCACTGTTCTTTCAGAAGACTCGGGTTCAAATCCTAGCACCCTCATGGCCACTAACAACTGTCCATAACTCCAGTTCCAGGGGATCCAACAGTCTCTTCTGTCCTCCTTGGGCATTGTATGACATGGGTGCACTTACCTACATGCAGGCAATACACTCATCCACATAAAATAAGAATAATAAAAAATATTTTTAAAAGTTTTTGGACTTATTTATTTTTATTTTATGTGTATGAATGTTATGCCTGCCAGTATGTAAGTGCACCCATGTCAAGCAATGCCCGTGGAAGCTAGAAGAGGGCATCTGATACCCTGGAACTGGAGATATGGATGGTTGTTAGCCACCATGAGGGTGCTGGAAATTGAACCCAGGTCTTCTGCAAAAGCAGTGTTCTTAACTGCTGCTCCATCTCTCCAGCCCCTAGAATACTCTTTTCTATGGTTGCAAAAAAAAAAAAAAATCTTCCTGGGAATGGTGGCACATGCTTTTAATCCCAGCACTTGGGAGGCAGAGGCAGGCAGATCTCTGTGAGTTCAAGGCCAGCCTAAACTACATAGCAAGTTCCAGGCCAGTTGGGGCTACAGGGAGACTCTGTCTCAAAAAGACACACACACACACACACAATCATGCTGGTTGGCACTTTCATAGGAATTGTGTTAAAATTGTGTAGCAATTTGAGGAAAATTGACATCTTTATTGTGTTGAGTTTTCCAATCGATGAACACCTGTGTCTGTATCTCCATTTATTCAAATAGAAATTTTCACTGATTTCTTTCATTAACACCTTCTCATTCTTAGCGTATAAATCTGTATTTATCTTGTAGATTTACACTTGTGAATTTCCTGAAGGACTTATTTTGGTTCATGGTTTGAGAAGATATAGTCCATCCCCCTGGACCATCCCCAACACATCCCCTCCCAACTTCACACCCTCTTCTTTTTTCAATCCCTCTTATATAAAGTGCTTCCCATACGCATATAGAAAACGGATATGTAATCATCCACTGGAACATGGGCAACCTACCACTGGCCACATCCCTAATGAAAAATGACCTTTGCTTAGAAACCATCAACTATCAATAACTCCTCAGCTAGGTTAAGGCCTCATGTGCTCCCCCCTCCCCATCTATGCCAGAATTTTGACTGACTTGATCTTTTGCAGGTCTTGTGCAGGTAACCACAGTTATTGTGAGTTCATGAGTTCAATAGCCATGTCATGTCCATAAAAAGCATTTCACAGCATTCCTTAGACTATTACATTCTTCTAACAGAGGAGTATATTTATCTTTTTAAAATATTTTATTGAATTTTTGAGAATTTCAAACTGTATTTTGATCATGTTCAGATCCCTTCCCCTATCTGCCTATCTGCACCCCCTTGTTACCTCTCCCACTCAAGTTTACATACTCATTTAATTTGAGTCCTCAAACATCCTTCCGTGTGGCTCCATCTACTGGAGTTTGGCTAACATACCCAGTGTCACACCCTTAAAGAAAACTGATTCTCCCTCTCCCAGCAGCTATCGGTAGCCGATAGTTCCTCAGCTAGAATTGGGATTCCTTACCCGCTTCCACACCACTATGCTGAGATTTTGTCTGGCTTGATCTTACATAGATCTTTTGCATGCTGGCACAATTGCTGTGAGTTCATACCAATAATTTCTCAGCTATCTGGAAAACATTATTTCCTTTTGGTCATCCCCCACATCTGGCTTTTACAGTCTTTTTAAAAAAAATTATTTATTATTTTTATTTTATGAGTGTATTGCCTGCATGTGCAGTGCTGGAGAGGTCAGAAGAGGGCTTCGGATTCCCCTGGAACTGGAGTTAAGGACAGTTTGTAGCCACCATGTGGGTGCTGGGAATCGAATCCGGGTCCTCTGCAAGAGCATTCAGTGCTCTTAACCGCTGAGCCATCTCTCCAGCCCCTCTTTTACAGTCTTTTTAACTCCTCATCTGCAATGATCCCTGAGCTTTGGAAGGCAGAGGTTTGATATAGGTGTCCTATTCAGGGATAAGCACTCTGCTGTCTGTTATTCTCTGCACATTGATTAGTTCTGGGTCTCTGTGTTAATCACCATCTGGTGAATGAGGAAGCTTCTCTGGTGAGAGTTTTGAGATGCATTCATCTATGAGTATAACAATAAGTCATTAGAAGTTAGTTTAATACTGTGCCCATTTAGCAGCATAATAGTAGTAGGTTCTCCCCTATGGCCTGTGATTTGTGTGGCCACAGGACCCTAGGCCTGACATTGGTGTTAGGTATGGGCTCCATTTTGTGAAGCAGATCTTAAATACAATCAGAAAGTGGTTGACTACACCCATAACATTTGTGCCACTATTGAACCAGGGGATATATATTGCCAGGCGAGTTG